AACTGTTTATGAAGAATTAGAAGGAGTGGTTTTATTGGAGGAGGTGTTTAACCGGGGGTGGTAGGCTTTGAGGTTTCAAAAGGCCACATGAGGCCCAGAGTCTATCTCTGCCAGCACATTGCAGATTAGTGTGAATTCTCAACTACTGCTCCGGTGCTATGCCTGCCTGCCTGCTGCTGTGCTTCATGGCCTAACCCTCTGAAACTGTAAGCAAGTCCCCTATTAAATGATTTCTTCTGTACGTTGCCTTGATCATGGTGTCTCCTTCCAGCAATAGAACACTAGCTAAGACAAATACATTTTCCTCCTTTCCCTGTCTTCCCTCTAACCTTTGTCATGTATCCTGCAACCCCCAGGATATGACCTCCTTTTCTCAAGTTGTTACACACATACACACCACACACACTATATATACCCACACATATATACACACTTTATATATAAACATATATATGTATGCATGTATGTACATAATACTATATATATATTATATACATATCCTGAACAGTCCATATAATATTACTTGCACAAATATGATTTCAGGCTTGATAACTTGGTACTGGATAATCAATTGGCATTATCTTCCCAGGGAAGACTATTTCTCTCACTCTGAGCAGTCCTGAGTTGTTTTATAATTCTTTGTCTAGGGTTGAGGTCCCATGAGCTTTCTCCCTTCCGTGCTAGCCTGTCTGTTGGTGTGGTCCTTGTTCAGGCAGCCCTCTTAGTGAGACTTCATGGGTGTAGCTTCCCTGACATTTCTAGGAGACATAATCTCACAGAAAGAAGTTCCCCTGGCTCTTACAGTCTTTCCACCCCATCTTCCACAGTAATACCAGAGCCTTAGGCATAAAAGTTATGTTGTAGATGTATTAGTTGAGGCTGGGCTCCACACAATTACTTATTTTGATTGTGGTTTTCTGCGATAGTCTCTATCTGCCACAAATATTTATCTTTATACCCACAGATAAGTATAGGTGTCACCCTCATCAAAGAAATGTGGCAGATAGAGACTGTCGTAGGAAACCACAAATATTTAGAATGTAGCTAGAATTTGTGCTGGTTTAGCAAATTGGTGGTTGTAGATTCTTCTCCAAGACCCACACTTCAGTAGCTTTGGGTAGTTGGCTAGGTTTCCTGTGTCAGCACAACTTTCCTCTTATTGACTGGACCATAAGTTCATTTAGAAGTGTTCTGGGTTACTTCCAAGCTATGTGTACCTCTACTACAGCCTTAGGGTTATGGTGCCATGTTGATCATCATAGCTGGGTAGAACTATTGGTTGCTCTTCTCTCTTGGAAGCTTGCATGGAACCTTCTGGTACCATGAAAGATAGTCTTTTTGTTTGTTCATTTGTTTTCGCTGTCTTGAGATAGGGTCTCTCTTTGTTGCTCTAGCTGTCCTAGAACTTACTTTGTAGAACAGGCTGACTTTGAACTCACTGAGATCTGCTTGCCTTTGCCTTCTAAGTGCTGGGATTAAAGATGTGCACTAGCACCACCTGGCTATAATGTAAGATAGTCTTAAGGGAGGAAAATTTTAGGTTAGATTCAGCGCAGAATCTTTGGGTTCTATGTCTGAAATATATGATGTCATCAGCAATAAGGACTTAACTTTCATCCCTGGGAGGAAAACAAGGGCAACATCAATAGCCTATAATGTTTTGGGAATCTTTGGACAACCATGACCAACAATTCAAAGGGTGGCCTCTCATACCTATGGCTTTTGGGGGAGACATTGTCAGCCCAGATGAGAAAACTTCATTTAAGATCTGACAACTCAAAAAACAAAGAGCTTATTTGTTTGTCTGACCAGTGGCTCATTGACAGTTCATATGGAACTGGACACTACTCTTTTTAAACCCCTTTCTTCTGTTTTTCTTAATCCTACTAGTCTCACCCTGCCTTATAAACTTCTTGTTTAAATTTCTTCAGCAACAGATCCAAATGATTTCTAATCAGACTTTTAATCATTTGCTATTACAGGATTACCAGCTCCTAGATCCTGAGCCAAAGGTCTGTAACCACCCCATCCCGTTATAGCCCCCACTAAAAAGATCAAGCTTGCCCCCAGGATTTCAATGCTCCCATTCAACAGGAAATAGTCTACTGATAACATCACCTCCTTTTCTCTTTCTTGACCCCTGACTGTTTATCAATAGTAAACAAAAAATGGGGAGAAAGTAATCCCTTGGAGGCAAGGATAGCTAGGTCCCATGCCTTAGACTTCTCTAAAGGTCATCCTAACCCTTGAGGTAGGAGAGTGGCCAGGCCCCACACTACAGAACAACAACAACAAAAAAGGCCAAGATCAAGCCACAAAAGTCCCTCTAATCCCAGGCCACCCGGACAGCTCTGCCTCCCCAGACACTCTATAAAGCCTGCCTCCTGCTCAGTTCTTTGCTGCTTCTTGACTGAGCAGAAGCAGCTATCTTCTTGTGTCTCTCCCAATAAATCTCTTGTGTGAAGTTTGTTTTTTTAAATTTTTATTATACTTTTTAAATTTAAATAAAAAACAATCTTATTTTACATACCAATCCCAGTTCCCTCTCCCTCTTGTCTTACCATGTCCCTCACCAACCCCCTATCCCACACCCACATCTACTCCCCAGGGAGGGTGAGGTCTCCTATGAGGGATCATCAAAGTCTGTCACATCATTTGGGACAGGGTCTAGTCACTCCTCCATGTATCTAGGCTGAAAGGGTATCCTTCTGTAGGTAATGGGCTCCCAAAGTCTATGCACTAGGGATAAATGCTGGTTCTACTGCTAGAGGCCCCATAGACAGTCCTGGCCTCCCAACTGATACCCACATTCAGGGATCCTGGTTTGGTCCTTTGGTAGTTCTCAGCTGTCAGTTTGAGTCTGTGAGCTCCTACTTGCTCAGGTCAGCTGTTTCTGTATGCTTCCCCAGCATGATCTTGACTTCTTTGCTCATTACTATGAGTCCTGACTTAGTGGTATTCCTTGTCTCCTGACATTGGGGCGCCCATTCCACAAGCAAGTCCAAGGTATCAGGAAAAGAAAGACAAGACGTCCAGCTGTTTGTACTAAGAGAATGCATGTGCTGCCTTTATTGCCAGGAGAGAGAGAGAGAGAGAGAGAGAGAGAGAGAGAGAGAGAGAGAGAGAGAGAGAGAGAGAGAGAGTGTGTCTTTATTGCAAGTGCTAAGAGGTCTCTTCCTTGTAGGAGGGAGCAGTCTTATATACAGGCTTACAGCACAGTGGAAAAACCCCAGGTGGAAGACAGTGTGTTTTCCTCCTGCTAGATGTTGATGTCAGAGGGTCAAGGCTGGGGCAGTAAGCCAGGACTAGAAAACAGGAAGCAGCACTTGGACTGGAAAACAGGTTGCACTTGTAGGCTGACCAGCAACTCACAGAGACCCCGTGGGGCTGGGGCCCAACACCTGACTGCTAGGATACCTTTCCCGGCAGGTTTTCCTCTCAGAGCTGTAACACCTCCACGGGGAAGCCTTTCCTTTCAAAAGCTCTAACAGTTACAGGCAGTTATGAAAAGAGCCAGTCTGTCCCACCCACCGTCCTCTACTCTTGGATTGACAAATTGTGGCACACCTCAATAAGAACTTCCATTACTACTGTTTTCCATTTGCTGAAGTGTCTTTGTTAGACTGAGCACATACATGGCCATGCTTTTGAATCTCCAAATTGTGAGCTAAATATATTTCTCTTCCTCATAACTAGACTGTATCTTGTATTTTGTTACAATGATGAACAGCTGACTAAAACATGTAGTATCTTCTTTGCAAAGCTCCATTCCTTGAGATCAAGGACATTGTCATCTTTAAAATATTTACCCAACTCCTGCCATGAAAAAGTTTTTAACATATAAAATAAACATTCAATACATAGCTATTAAGTAAACAGTGATTACAGATCACATTTCTAGATATTTGTTCTTCCAACCCATAAACTCTCACATATACAAGCATATGTGTACCCTATGACTGGCTTATAGTGTTATGCCCAGATTGCAGAACCCCAAAAATCCACCACTGAGGAAGTGACACATTGAATGTAAAAACAAAGGTTTCTTTTATTACAAGCTGCAGCCTGAATTCTGCCCATTCAGGAACAAGCAGAATGCTGCTTCTTGGCTGAGGGAGTGTTTAAATGGAAACTGCAAAAGACTGGGTATTTTAAGATTACAAAACTTTCATGGTTACATAGGATGAAACAATAACTGTATGTTTCAGGCAGGATGCAATTAAGCAGGATGCTGTAGAAGAAACAAATTTGTTGATTATCTCCTTGGCCAGAGACTTGTACAACCACAAATTGATAGCTATCTGATCTCCTTTAGGACAGAGAAATGTTGACATGGTTGGGGTGTGCTGTCTGTTCCCAGGCCTCTAGTCATGTATCAAGTTCTTTGTTTAGCCTTATCTGTAGGTAGGGCTGTCTTTTTGGGAACGCAGAGAGGCTTAAGAGTTTTTCTTTTTCCATTTGGGCTTTTGGAGTCTAAGTTATTAGATTTTTATTACTTTTCCCCTTTAATTTCCCCTTCCAACTCTGCATGAAAAACCAATCCCTTTGTTTCTGGCATGTAATTTGAAAACTTCTGGGGATGCCTCGGGCATGGCTTGGTAGGCCTGGGATCTCTGAACCATTAACTGAATAGTGCTTAAGTAATCCCCATGAACTAGAGTAGCATATTAACAATGTAGGGCCCAAATGTTAGCAGTAAAAGAAGTATCAGAAGGGGGACCTGTGAGGGCAGATATCAAGGTGGCCAAGGAGGGGCTCAAAGGGGTGGTAACAGGCCCTAAGAGTCCTTACCTAACAGATTTTCCTAGGGATGTGACATCTGTGCCTATTGTCTTTCTGTCTCCTATGTAAGGGAGTTTTCTTTTGACTTAGCATCTTAGCCAGGGGAAAAGGGATGATGCATTCTTTCCTGTTCTACTTCTTGCTGATTTTGGGGCATTGTTAGGGACCCAAGCAGGCTGAAATGCTAGTCAAAAGAAAAGAAAAAAAAAACAAGGGAATTTAGGCAATGGAGTATTTTATTAGAAGCAGTTGGTTCGCAGATTCTGTTGAAGATACAGGGGAGTGTTCACATCCGCAGGAAGTCCAGACCTCGTAGTCTTTAGGAGCAGGCTGTAGTCTCAACTGATGCTTGGTTGCATCTGCCAGAAGTAGAAACTTGTTTGAGACATGTTTAAACTGGGAGCAGAAGTTAGAATTTATGTACTTAATTGGAACTCTTAGGTCCATAGTTTTAGTGATCACTCTAGGTCCATAGTTTCAGTGATCAGGAAGGGCAGGAGTACCAAGACCAGGGAAGAAAAAAATCCCATCCTCGGGAACAGACAGGTGGGATAAAAAAGGGTGTACTTATCTGGAGTCCCTTTTGACCTGTGAGAAGTTGCCACTGCAACTAGATCCCTAAGGTTCTTTTTCCCTAGTCTCTCTATTGACTGTAGCATTCTCTCAATGTCTGCGGCTGCCTGATGGATGAAAGCCAGTATCACGGTTGTCTCCGTTTTCCCTGTCTCAGGATCATATGGGGTGCAACCGAGAAAGGCTTCCTCACACCTTTCCAGGTACTCAGACGGACATTTTTCTGGACCCTGCCTAACATCACGTACCCTAAACGTTCTGGCCAGCTTTTGTGCCGCCTCCCTGAGGCCCACTGGCAGAGTCTGATGATAGACCAGAAGTTTCTCTTTACCTTGGGCGATGTTGTAATCCTGATCGGGACAGGTAGAGGGGAAGTGGGCATTAGTGTTTTTTGTTCTTTTGTTTCAGGGTAAGCATAAAGCTTAAGGGAGTCTGCGTGGGGAGACCATGGCAGATTCCATGGCTGGCAAGGGTGACCGAGGTGGAGTAAGTTTTAGTAGAAAGTGGAGGGAGGGGGAAGGAAAGAGAAAAGAGGTAAAGAGACACAGAGGGAGGACAGAAGAGAAGAGAAGAGAAGAGAAGAGAAGAGAAGAGAAGAGAAGAGAAGAGAAGAGGGGGACAGGAGCAGAAAGAGAGGAGAGAGGAGAGAGAGAAGAGCCGGAAAGAGCAGATAAGAGAGCAAGCGATCAAGAACAGTAAGAGAAACTAGAGAGCAGAAAGAACAGTAAGAGAAAATAAGTGGGCGGGGGTCTTTCTTTTAAAGGGGTCTTTATACCTGGGTGCAGACTAGTACTCATGGAACCCTGGGCTGACCAGGGAAGTGCCTGAGTGCATTCTGCCAGGTGACAGGGGCAGGCCAGCATAATTTTGAATTCTTACAGTGTTCCCTGTGGCATCCGGAGATTCCGCAGGGCGGAGGGGAAAGTCTACAGCCTCTGTCTGAGGGGTAGCCGCCCTGCGGCCACATGACACTTGCTCAGGGTCTCCCATGTCCCTGGTTGGGTGCTTGGCCGGCTCTGCCTGTTTGGCTGCTCCAAGGGTTTGAGTTCCTGTGAAGGTGGGGGAGAATAGAGGGGAGGAAAGATATTAAATTCATTTGTTTAACCCTGAAGGATAGGAAGGATTCTGGCGGGTGCTTTGGTGTGTCTAGTCAGCGTCTGTGGGGTTTGGAAGGAACAGGGCGGGGGAGGAAACGTTTAGGGGAGAAGGGCTGTTTTGTTCCATTGTTACTAGTCAGGGGTTGTGTCTGTAGGATTGAGGCGAAAAATAACACACACCACAAACATACAACACAGTAAAAACTGGGACGAGCAACACAGTACAAACACAGACTGGGGCCCTTTCTGAATCTTCAGAATCTTGCAAGAACCTTCACTTCAGATGGCTAGCCAAATATAGGGCGACTTGATCCCTGATCTGGTCCCCTCCTAGAGTGCAGGATAGTTCAGCTGGCTGAACCCCTGCCCTGGATGAGGAGTAGGGACATCCCCATGCTCCCCACAGGCCTGCCCATATAATGCACATCTGTCAAGGGAACGGTGGAGCTGTTAGCCTGGATTTACCTAGACACTATTGTACCTATAAAAAAACGCACATTTGACAACACAGGACATTTACACACTTAGCAAACACAGAACACTCACCAACTGGTTAGAAGACAAAACCTTCAGAAGCCGGAGGGGTTTTGGGGCTCCCAGCCAATACACCAAATGTTATGCCCAGATCATGGAACCCCCAAAATCCACCACCAAGGAAGCCATCCAACTAATGTCAAAGCAAAAGTTTCTTTTTATTACAAGCTGCAGCCCAGATTCTGCCCATTCAGGAACAAGCAGAATGCTGCTTTTTGGCTGAGGGGGTTTTTAAAGAGAAAGTGCAAAAGACTGAGTGTCTTGAGATTACAAAGCTTTCATGGTTACATAGGATGAAACAATAACTGTATATTTCAGGCAGGGTGCAATTAAGCAGGATGCTGTAGAAGAAACAAATTTGTTGATTATCTCCTTGGCCAGAGACTTGTACAACCACAAATTGATAGCTATTTTAGTTTTTTTTTTTTTTTTTCGAGACAGGGTTTCTCTGTGGCTTTGGAGGCTGTCCTGGAACTCACTTTGTAGACCAGGCTGGTCTCGAACTCACAGAGATCCGCCTGCCTCTGCCTCCCGAGTGCTGGTATTAAAGGCGTGCGCCACCATCTGATCTCCTTTAGGACAGAGAAATGTTGACATAGTTGGGGTGTGCTGTCTGTTCCCAGGCCTCTAGTCATGTATCAAGTTCTTTGTTTAGCCTTATCTATTGGGTTGTCTTTTTGGGAACTCAGAGAGGCTTAAGAGTTTTTCCTTTTATATTTGGGCTTTTGGAGTCTAAGTTATTAGACTTTTATTAATTTTTCCCTTTCAATAGATGCTTACACCACACATTTATAAATGCCTTGGAAAGACCTGTTGGCTAAAATCCCATATCAAATGTTATTTATTTAATCAACTATGATTTATCAAATTGAATCAAGTCACAAGATTCAAGGTGCAAGCAATGGGTAAGTTATCTCCTCACTTGTAAGGGAAGAGAGACCCTGGATTATGAAAACCCAGGAGGAGGAGGACTTCTTTGGGTTTCAGTGAGAGACCCTTCTAGAATCTTTAGATTTGCTTAATTACAGGGTGATTTTTTCTTTGAATGGCTTCCATATGTCTTCTGGGCTCTATTTGAGTCATGGGCAGGATCTGTTTCACAGGAAAGCACAGGCACAAGAAGGAACATTGAATGACAGGAGGATGGTCATGCTCAGAGAGATTAGACATTGTGTGATTTTACCTGCTTCTGTATGGGTATGAGAAACAGAAAGACCCCCTTTAAACTACACTCACCTATGTGTGTTACCAGGCCTGGCCAGGATCAAAACAGCATGTATGATGAGAGTTATCATTCCACCTACAAGTCCCTCCCAAAACAGTCTTTCAATCTGGAATAAAAATGAACAGAAAGAGCATGAAAACAAGTTTGGACACCAACAAATTTGATTTTGAACCTGTCTCTATGACTTATTATCTCTCAGTCCCATTGGGGGAAAATGTCTGTCTGAGTCTTTAAGAGAATCCAGTGTGGGTGGAAAAGAGTTTTTTTTTTAAAATTTTATTTTACTTCTGAGTATCATTGGTTTGTTCAGGTAGAGAAGTGTGGTCTGGAGTCAGTGAGACAGTGAAAGTGCTGTGTGTAGGAAGTGAATAGTGTTGATGTTGTGTATAAGAACACAGAGAAAGGCTGGAGAGATGACTCAGAGAGAGCACTGGCTGCTCTTCCGAGGTCCTGAGTCTGGTTCCCAGCAACCATATGGGGCCTTACAAGCATCTAGAATGAGATCTAGTGCCCTCTTCTGGCATGCAGGCATACATGAAGGCAGAACACTGTATAATAAATAAATCTTTAAAAAGGACACAGAGAATAGTGAAGGAAAAGGAGGCCTGCAGAAAAAAACCTCATGAGGGAGGGGAGACTTCCAACGTTTGTTAAGGTGCCACATCTTCAGTTTTCTGGTCCTGATGTAAACCTCTACTGTTGCTCTGAACCTCCAGATGAAGCCAGATCCTGAGACAATCTGCCTACTTGGGACAGTGACATTTTGAGGGGGATAGTTGGAAGAAGTAAGGCTGTCAGGGCCCATAAAATTGCTCTACTTCATTTTGACTTAAGGTCCAAAACTATCCTTACTCTTTCAAGGTTAAAGCCATAAGACCTAAAGGCCTAAGTTGCAGCCACTGAAGGATGTTTGGTCTAAGGTATAGATGTCTTAACCATCAAATCCAGATAATGAGAGATTCAGTCTAAGGTATGATTACTGAATGTTTGGAGAGTTAAGGAAGTAAGTCTGTTTGTTCCTTGTATCATGGTAAAGAAGTCTTTTTGCCCCCCCTTTTGACTTGGGTATCTTAGAAAATGAGAAATAAACTTGAGGTGTTCAGTGTTCAGTGGATAGCCCTCCTGACTCTATTCTGTATCTCTGTCTTTTTCTTAGCATCTCTACCTGGTGTTTCTCAATCCACAACCCTGTCCCCCTCAGGTATGAACCAGGCAAGTTGGCTGAATCTGACTGAAGCCTCACAAAGATGGGTTCCTACATGAGGCTTCCCTTTGGCTGGTGAGAAAGATCCAATGACGTGATTCCTAAGTTGAACTAACTTAGCAGAGGAGGGAACAAGAGGAATGTAAACCTGATAGTAGGCAGGCAGGAAACCAATGGAAGTGGTGTTTGAAGCCACAGGAACCACTGAGTATATGTCCTCAGAGACAAATGGCATGACCAGTTATCAGCAATGCCCTGCTAGAAAGGGAACTAGAAGAAAGATAAGAGAGATCAGATTTCAAGAGCAATAATGGAAGATCTCCAAGATGTTCATGAGGCATATTCAAGCATTGCCCTTCGATTGCTAGAAAATGGACCTGAACTGGATCTCAGTAAGTGCTAAAGATCTGAAAGCTGTTTGTTACTCACTCAAGGTAAAGATGAACTAATGGCAGAAGTTAACAAAGGTATAATGTAAATTGATAGTAATCATTGCTGTTCAGTTATTCCCTCCTGACCCAAATCTAACAAAAGTGAAAGGTAAATCAATTGCAATGAGTAATAATTATTCTGTCTTAAGCAGAATTCTGAGTTCTAGGCTACACAACGAAACTTTTAGCTGACTACAAGTGTAAAACAAAACAAAACAAACAAAACAGTAAGATTATTTACTTCCTCTTTGGTTGGCCTGAAAAGCTGGACTGTCACTTATGGGTCAAAGACACATACCTGGAAGGAGAGAAGATATTCCAAAGAGAGACACCATTTATTTATAAATCTCATGTACAACTGAAAGATGAACTTGGTGGTTGTCTTTATTTGTTCTTGTTAGTGTAGCCATGTTGAACAAATCTTTCTCTGCATTTCACAACTGTCATCTTAATTGACATCTTGAAGACAGTAGCTCAGCTTAATTAGGACTATCTGGGCCCAGTCTTGTCCTCTAAAACTAGGACAATGTCACCTAAGAAGAGGTCAAATCTGCACATCAATGTAAAATGTAAGGACAAAAGGCCTTAGGCTTCTGCCTCTATTTTCCAGGAGTGTCTGTTAGGTACTTTACTAGGTACTTCATGTCCCTTTCTCCTTTTCCATGCCCTGTGTCTCAGCAGCTACCAAGATCTTCAGCTTGCCTTCTTGTCTTGTTTTCTTTTCTTTCTAATGTCAGTAAATTTCTCTCAAGTCTCCAATGCTCTCATCTGAATATGTTTAAAATTGTGTGTGTGTTCTGACATGTGTGGAGAGGATTGGTATGTGTGGTGTGTGAGTGTGTGACATGGCAAGCTTTACAAAAGGGGTGGGGAGTGGCCACCGAAGAGGAATGGGGGAGGTTATGGTTGGTTGTGCAGGTGGAAGGGTTGCAATTACAGGGGACATAAAAGGATCAGTGACAGGCACAACTTCTAGAGCAAGATCCAGCTCCCTTTGAGACATGAATGTCGCTCCCTTCCTATACCTCAGACCATAATCCAGTTCTGTGGACACATGGAGATATCCACTCTGCAAAGAAATCATTGTCTCCTGTGGGAATCTCACTTCTGCACAGTAGCTGAATTTTCACATAAGTTTTGAAGTTAGATGTATGCATTCATTCTTCCTAAGACCAGCAAACTGAGCTGAATCCCTCCCAAAGGCAGCCACCCCATTGAGACTTCCCCATAAAAATGAAGATACTTACAAAAGGCATCCTGAAGTTAGCACCCACTGGTCTCCTGTTTGGCTCTTTTATGTCCTTAAAAGTTTAGGACAAAGCAAAATTTTTAAGAAGTTTAGCTGAGCAGAAATCAATTCCACCAAACTAAAAGAGGTAGAAAGTGATGATACTCAACCAAGGGAAGTCTTTATATAGAGTACACGAATGCAAAATGAAACAACTTGATCAGCTGTGGAGAACTGTCTTTGGGACTAATATCAAATTTCTTGTTGGCTCTGAGGTTCAGTTTCGTTTTTCTCCAACAGAAGCATTTAAAAGAAATGACTACAGTTCAGTTTCATCTTTTCCTGCTTATATAAAGTCAAATCTACTTGCCTCATTGGCCTTTGTTTACTTGTGATGTTTTTAGCCTCTCCTGAGTTGACTCAGCGGGTAAAAGTGCTCCCAGTTAGGCCTGACAACTTGATTTGGTCCCTGGAACCTGCATGACTGAAGTAGATAACTGACTCTCAAAAATGGTCTTTTGACTGTGGTGGGAAAAATAAGAAAAGATCCTAGCTAAACAAGGGTCCTCTGACCAGAGACCACAGATGGATCCCAGAAAGAAAGGAAGCTTGAACCCTCCAGCAGCTTTGTCAACAACTGCCCACTTGCCTTCAGAGGAATGGGAACCAGATAGCCTCTTGCCCTACTGGTTTTACAACCTTCTAGATCACAGGATGTGCTCCTGTCATGAGCCCCTAGACCACAGATATGCCAATGAATTTTACCTAACCAGGTGACAGTTACTGCCTTCTTCAAGGCCCTTTGTTTCATGATAACCTTGCATGGAAACTTTGTGTGCTAAGTAATCTCTGTAACCATGGGAACCTTGGGAACTGAGACTTTCAGTCTCAGGACTCCCCCTCCCTTTTTTCCCTTTAAATTGAACAATTAAAAGAAACCTCTTGCTTTTGCATCAGAAGTGTTAACTCCTTGGGTTGTCTTTGGGATTCTGAAAACCTGGGCACAACATTGACATTCATGCAAGTGCCATGGCAAATACTCCCCCGTGCATACAAAGTAAATAAAGTGTACATGTGCACACATGTGTACACACGCAAAGAGAAAATACATGAATAAGCATTTATTTTTGGAAATCTTATCTATCTATCTATCTATCTATCTTATGTACAAATATTTGCTGACTGTATGTCTGTGTACCATGCAAATGCAGTGTTCTTGGAGGCTAGAAGAGGGCATTGGGTCCTTCTGGGACTGGAATTACAGGCTGTTGTGAGCTGCCATGTGGATTCTGGGAACCAAAGCCAAGTTCTGTAGAAGAGCAGCCAGTGCTCTCAACCACTGAGCCATCTCTCCAGCCCAAGCTTCTAATTTTGAAACAAGATTTAGAAGCTTTGACTCAGAAGGCTAAATCTACAACTATGACAGAAATAAAAATTTTATATCTCTTATAAATTTATTGAATAGTGCTAGTTATTACAGTTATCCTGATGTACAGGCATATATATAATAACACAATAACCGTTTAGTCAGGACCAATAGATACTTGTATATGTTTTAGCCAAACAGCTCAGTCTTGGTATACATCTGTGGTAAAGACAAAATTCTCCACTTAAGTACAGGAAGATGGAATTGTATTAGTTAAGTCACATATTTAAGTTAAAATGTCAGAAGATGACTTAATTTATGAGTTAAGACAGTTGTATTTTCCGCAGTACTCCACTAGATTGCATACCTAAGTTCTTAAATAACCATCATACACACTCACCAGACATCTGAAGAGTCAAGCAACTGAATACTTGCCTTTCCTACTGTCCTTATGACTTTCCATCCCTTGTAGCATAGTTAGATGTTATAACACCAAAATGTATAACAGTGTTTAAAAGACTCTTTAGTATGTTTCAGCAATTATACCAATAGAAAATGAACCCATTTCAATTATTACAGGATACATGTCTATTTATGGATCAAGGGCAAGGAGTCATGCAAAATATACAAAATATGAATTATTCCAGGTACTCTTCTTGTCTTCCCACGTCTTCCTGCATCAGTTGCTTTTTTACCTCTAGTTGGTGAAGCAGAGAAATGAGTATTTGAACTCTCTCATTGATTCTCAGGAGTATTTACAAGTTAACCTTTTAAGTTTTCCTAGCCAAAGGTCAGTTTAGTGCTCGCATCTGGGTGGCTCAGGATGCAGATGGCACTCTGTCTTTTTCTTTTTTAATTCCACCGAGGCCCCCCATGGGATGACTCTATCCAGAGTTAAGTTATATTTTCTTTCTCACTTAGATCCTTTCTGGTAGTTCTCACAGACTCTCCTGGAGGAATACCCAACCATCTCCTAGCTGATTCTAAACTCTGTCAAGCTGCATGTTTCCTTATTCTTCTTCTGCTCTCTTCTTGTCTTTTTTTTCCTCTGGTTCTCCCCAGGTATATATACCATTTGCAATAGTAGTTCTTTTTGCGATACAATGTCAGGGTTGAGTTTCTCAGGGTCAGCAGGGCAGATAAGATTTACACACAGAGCAATAAACTAAAACTGCTAGGAGAAAATTTTGCAACAATTACTTAGGGCTGTTGGTCACGGAGAGGGTCTAAGTTTAATTCACACAAGAAACAAAACCTGGCACCTTCCAGTGCTCTGGCCTCAGTGGCAGCACAGGCCTTCAGCAAAGTTTACTTTTCCCTGAGTATGAACAAAAGGGCTGATTACCCTTGTCATTATCTTCTTAGGGGAAACAGGAGGGAGCAGTAAATCACTGAGCTAAGATCTTTTGTTAATAAACTGGGATGAAGGTATATGCAAGAAGTTTGAGAATCTTTTACTGCAGGATTAGTTTAGGTTATCACGTCTCTATCTGCCAGTGAGGTAAAACCAGGGCACGCTTATTTTTTTCTATCCATGAGGCAGCTATGAATGAACAACTTTGGGCATGTTCTTTGACCATTACTAATAACAACTTGTAACCAACTCCCTTAAATGATGACAAATATCTATAATCCACTGAAGGGCCCAAAACTACCCATTTCACCTCTTGAGAATGTGGGTGTTGTGCTCTCTAGGCTGCTTCCTGTTTTCTGGGGGTGATTATATCTTTAGGGGATATAGCTGGAAGTTTTTCTGTGGTCCCACCTAGTCCCACAGCCAGTTATAAAATAATCATTCAGAGGCTTAACATTAAATATAATTGTTTGACCGATGGCTCAGACTTATTACTATCTAGCTCTTACATATAAATTAACCAATTTCTATTAATCTTTGTATTACCAAGTGGTCTGTGGCTTACTGATGGTTCTCCGGCATCTTATTCCTGTGGCAGTTGCTGGCATCTTTCTCAATTCCCCCTTCTTTCTCCTGGTATCTAGTTTGGCTTTACTGCCTAGCTATATTCTGCCCTGCCATGGGCTAAAGTAGCTTTTTTTTATCAGCCAATAAAAGCAACACATATTTGCAGTATACAGAAGGACATCCCATATCAAGGGAACCATGAAAAAAATTTGTGGCCAAGTCCTGATGGAGTCAGTCTTGGTGTGATGGGATAATGCAAGGCTTACCCGAAGTCCTGGTTGGAATAATCTGTGAGGCTGGACTATCTCAATAAGAAGTCTTGAAGTTGTTCTGGATGCAGAACTTCAACAGAGGCACTTCGAGAGACTGGATCACCTGGGCCACCTGTTTTCATTGGTGTCTTGTTCTGAAAACACACAAACTTTTAAGGGTAACATACATATCTGCCTTACCACAAGTATGGAATATGTGGTGTGCACAAGTCAGTTAACGATGATTTTTGTTCTATGTTTGAGCAGATAAAAGGCATCTGTCAACTTTATAAGTTCATTTAGATTGCATAACCAAACTGTGATGTAAATATCTATGCTATAGACGGAATTTTCTGTCTTTCCTGGTGCCGAAGTCCCTTAGTCCCAAAAAACACACAGAGGCTTATTATATTAATTATATTAATTATAAACTGTTTGGCTTCTTATTGGCTAGTGCTCTCTTAATTATTAACCCATAACTATTAATCTGTGTATTTCTACATAGCTTTATCTTTCTGGAGAACACCTGATGTCCTGTCTTCCCATTAGCTACATGACATCTCCCTGGCGTCTCAATCACTCTGTTCCTGCTCTCCAGAATTCAACCTGCCTGGTATCCCCACATATACTTCCTGCCTGGTTACTGGCCAATCAGTGTTTTATTCATCAATCAGTAAGAGAAACATATATACAGAAGGATATCACCCATCATCTCCTATTTTCTGTCCAAATAAAAAAAAGGCTCTAACTTTAACATAGTAAAATTATATATAACAAAACAGTTATCAAGTAAGAACCACAGTTAATAATATTTAGTTCATTAACTTTTGGTAAAATTTAAAGAAAATATTCTATCATCTATCCTATCTTTGTGAGTCTAAAGTATGTAACTTATCTTTTACCATAACTAAGGAAAATCATAACATAACTATCTGTCTTCAACTTCGTCAAAGACCTCAGAAGGATAATATATAAACTCTAGAATTGACAGAGACATCTCGCTGCCTAGACAGTCACCCCAAGTTCCTCTGTAGCATTGGGGCATCTATCTTCAGCCTATAGGCCTAGAGTGTCTGACAGACTTCTCAGCAAAGCAGGAAATTTGAAACTGTCCCACTTGTATTGGCAGTTTGTCAGTCATTTTTCTTTGTGTCCTTCAGAATGTCTGGTAGACTGTTCCATGAAGCAGAAACCATGAAGGACTGATCCGATCTTGTTTTCACAAGTCAGTTTCCTGTGGGTCCTGCATATTCAGTTTGTACAGCGTACAGTCAAACAATGCAGGCAAGAGCAGTTTCTTGCCCAAATGGCTAGTCTTGCCATGTCGAAGGCAAACTCCATAATGAGTTTCTTCCATGTCCATCTTCCTCTCTGGTGTAATCGATGTTGCCAGGAACAGTTGTGTCTCTTTGTCATGAAAAACCCTAATAAACCATTTAAATGCCACATTCTGAAGTTCTTTGACAGGTTTTGAAGGATACCTATTCACTTGAAATACATCTGTGATATCTAGAAAACCTAACTAACATAGGTTTTGACTGTTATAGGTGACAATCTATAACCTGTGTTTAATTATACATTATATTTTTTAAAGAGCTGTACATACACAATATCTAAACAAGAGTAAAAATATATCTATAACAGAATTGACCCTACATTTGTATCAATAAACCAAAATCCATACCAATGCAAAGTATTAATTTCTATATCATATTCCTTTTGTTTCTTTAGAAAGAGATTGGCTTTTATCACTAACCATTTATAACCAACCCCATTTAAATGAAAACAAATATTTATAAACAATGTTTGGAATTTTGGTGTAGTTCTCTCCAAATAGCTTTCTGCTGTTTGGGGCACTGTCAATCCCAAGGGGATTCTGACAAAACCCAGGTCCTGGCTATAGTAGTTTGAGGCTGCATTTGAATGTTGGATCACCTGGGCCACTGCTTCAGGGGGTCTTGTTTGATCAAACCATATTAGTCTGGAAGGAATCCACAGCTTTTTATCTACGGGAACAAAAGCAAAACCTCTTTTCTAAAGTAACATGTTCTTAGACTTAATTTTTGAAGTCAATGAATTTTCAAAATATATAGGTTGGATTAATCCAGCAGCATTTATAATCAAATGTCTTTTATCAGCTGTTGCTCCTTCCTCAGCAATCGAAGAATTCAAAGATAACACAATGACATACAGTATCCAGACTCTCTGTGTAATTTCCATATATGTTTTTTAATCTCTATTTCTTTTACTTTCATTTTTCATTTTTTTGAAATGAACACAGTGTTTTTCTGTGTAATTTTGGGTGTCCTTGAACTCACTCTGTAATCCAGGCTGGCCTTGAAATCACAGAGATCTGCTTGCACCTGCCTCCAGAGTGCTGGGATTAAAGATATGTGCCATCACACCCCGCTACTCTATTTCTTTTGTAAGGACTTTATCCTTGTTCTTTTCTCTCCCAAGCCTATGTATATTTTTAAACGCGCTGTAAATCGTTTAGAGTTTTTTCCCTCTGAATCTGTCTTTACCACATATCTCTGTCTTTTTCTGACCACATGAGTCTTTAAATCTGCTAAACTTCATGGCTAGGATTTAAGTGGAGGTTTTGGCTGCTGGCTTTCCAACATGGTGGGGGGAGTTTGCCACCAGCTCTGGGAGCTGCGTTCATTGCCTCAACTCTTGTCTATGCTGCCATCAAGCAACTTGTAGCCCACTGACCAGAAATCCTTTTTGTCTGAATGAGTAAAAGCTAAGTCTGTCATGCAGTATGCTCTGAAGTTTGGGGACACAGCCTCCGTGTACCTTGACTGGAATCCACCATGCTGTGTTCAAGTCCCAGTGCCACAGAGTCTCTGCACCATAGCCTGCTTGAGACTGTGAGACTAGCAAGCCCAGTGCGGCTCTGGTGCGCCTCTGTTTTTGTGTGTTTAGAACCATTTTTAAGCTTTCGTTGGGTTTTATGTGGAAATTCTTGCCCCACATTGAGGGTGCCATTTATAGACAGAGTTTCTGTCCCAGCTTGGTCCCATGGCCATTTAGTCCCAAGTAAACACACATTCAAAAAAAATCAAAATGAACAAAGCACCATATAAAGTCAAAACTCCCCGTGTTATAATATTTCCCATCCTTTTGTGGCTTATCCTTTTTTTATTATTTTACTTCTCTCTTTAAAATTTTATTATTTTAAAACTATTTTTATGGCTGTCTATATCCTTTTCCTTTTTTCCCCTTAAGCCTATGCACATTGCTAAGCATGCTGTAACCTGTTTAGAGTTTTTTGCTTGTTTGTTTTTTCATCTGAAACTGCTTTACTGTCTATCTGTAACCTTTTCTGTGTGAAAGACCAAAACCTTAAACTGCTGTGCAGCTTATAGTTCTGGTGGCTGAATCCCACAGGCAGTGTCTGGAGACACTATTCATACCATGGGCTGCATAAGAGATGGTGGGACTAGGAACCCACATTTGACTCTGTTTTTGTGTGTTTGAAACCTTTTTAAAAGCGTTCCCAGGCCTTATGTGGAAATACATATCCTCACATTGCATACCATTTATAACTAGTTTTTGTTTGGTCCTCCAGCTCACAAAAACCAACATTGAGACTTATTATTAATTACGAAAACTCAGCAGATAGCTTAGGCTTTTTTTCTAATGAACTCTTACAGCTTACATTAACCCATTTCTATTAATTTACTTTTTGTCTCATGTCTTCATTACCTCATCTCCATAGTACCCACCTGCTTGCTGGGCATCTCCTGGCATCTCCATCTTTCTTCTTCCATCATCCTCTCTGTCCCCCAGATCCTGCCTAGCTATTGGGCATTCAGCTTTTTGTTAAACCAATCAGAGTGACACATCTGTACAGTGTACAAAAAGATTATTCCACAACAATGAAGGGCTGCTTATAGTTAGCTTAAGAAAATGCAAGTTCAGTGAGGCAATATACATGGTGTTATGTCCTACCATCTTTGCTCATGTGAAAAGATCCAAGAATATTTCTCCCAGGCTTTGTTTTTACCGTGAGAAAATATGAACATGCTAGGGCGTTCCTTTCATGTTCTTGCTTTCAAGTGCATCCATTTATTGTAGTTTATGCAATTATTTCTAGAAGACCACCTTGTGAGAAAACCGTTCTGCACTCTGCCCTATGTGTAGTGCATAGTAAGTTCACAGCTTCCTCACACTGGCTTTCTCAAGCTGCCACAACTGCATATCAATTCCTTAAGTAGCTTTCTTAATGAAAATATAACAGTGATGGTTTATCTTGTTTAAATTTTTAAATAAGACAAAATAAAATATAATAAGGTAAAACAAAATAAAACCTTGGAATTGGACAAATCAAACATACAGAAGGATAAGAGTGCAAGAAAAGGCACAAGAAACAAACCCACCCGTTTTCGTTTGTTTGTTTGTTTGTGTTTCTTTTGAGACAGGATTTCTCTGTATTGTTTTGGAGGCCGTCCTGGAAAGCTCTGTAGACCAGGCTGGCCTGGAACTCTCAGAGATCCACCTGCCTCTGCCTCCCTAGTGCTGGGATTAAAAGCGTGCGCCACCAATGCCCGGCTAAACCCACCCATTTTCAACTCAGGAGCCCCACTCAACTGGAAGCCATAGTATATTGTCAGAGGACCTGGTGTGTGCCTTTGCAGGCTCTCTGTGTGCTGCCTCAGTCTCTGTGAGTCCATATGAGCTTTGCTCATGTCGATTCAGTGGGTCTTGTTGTCTTGGTGTCCTCCATCCCCTCTGGCCCTTACACACTTTCTGCCTCCTTTTCCACAGGATGCCCTTAGCTCTGAGGGGAGGAATTTGATGGAGACATCCCATTTAGGGCTGACTGTTTCAAGGCCTCTCACACTCTGCTTTATGTCTGACTGTGGGTCTCTGTATTTGTTCTCATCTGATGCAGGAAGAAGCTTCTCTGATGATGGCTGAGCAAGGCACTGATCATATTTTTCAGTGAGAGCTCAGCACATACTCCAGGGGTCAGTCCATCAGAGATTGCTTATCTCTTGAAGGACATAACTCATTTAGCAAGGTGATGAAGAACATTGTCATCAGAGATGCAGATCTTAACCTTTTCTGCAAGATGATAAGGAATGCTGCCTTCTGAATGTGTCAGTTGTCCCCATTGCAGGTTCTTGTGTGGAGGTCTTTTCCCTCACATTACAGCTTGAGAATTTTCCCCACGGCACTACAGTGTGCTAATTGTTTGCTAGGCACATATTCTGTGCATGGTATGGAAGATGACTTTTCACTTAGATACATAATTTTTATATAGAATATGTACTGTGACATGCTTCATAACTGCATACATTTGTCCCATAAGGACTGTTGACTCTTAACAGCCTGCCTCGTTCTCTTGCTCAGACTACTACACACAATTAGCTCACTTATACCTCAGAGCAAGTTCAAGCTAGATTAAAGTTATTTTGTAAAAAGAAAGCTTTACAGCTTGCACAAGGCCAGAGTCACAGATGTCTACCAACTTACTAAGAAAAGCATGCTAATTCTTCACTTGTCAGTCTAATAACAACAGATCTGTGTCTTGAAGTTATCCTTGGGCACTGTGCCTTCCCTGTCTGGGTGCAGTTTTCTCCTATGGCTTTGGCCTTTTGTGTTGTCATGGTAAATGACTCAGCTCCTTATTGCTTCCCATAGGAATGTGCTTTTGACCAATGAGAAACTTCTTTGCCACTTCAAGTCTCCTGAAGAAGAAGAGTTTTTAGAGTAGTAGAAGAAACAAGAAGAAGAAGGAGGAGGAGGAGGAGGAGGAGGAGGAGGAGGAGGAGGAGGAGGAGGAGGAGGAGGAGAAGAAGAAGAAGAGAGCAGTTAGAAATAGAGCAGGATTATTAGAGTAGAAACAGAATATTAAAGGGGACACGAAATAAAGATCATGACCCTCAGATTGTATGTGAAGTTATTATAGAAATCTTCTACACCCTCCTTCAATCCTGAGAAGCATTTTACCTCTGGAACTGGTCTGGAGCAGGTCTCATAGCTCTTAAAATATTTGTCTTTCTAGATCTTTCAGGATAATTTTTCCTAGTTATACCCATTTACCTTCAAATTTCATTATTTTATTTTTTTTTAAAAATGGCTGAGTAATATCCCATTCTTCTGTTGAGGAACATCTAGGTTGCTTCTAATTTCTGACTATTTTGAATATAGCTGTCGCACCTGCTGCGCAGCCTGTGTCCAAGAACGTGCGGAGGGTGTCGGGGATTGACAACACAGAGACTTGTTCAACGATATAAAGAAAACTTTAAGCAGGCCCCAAAAAGGCTCAGGAAAACTTCCTAAGAAAGGCTCCCTCCAGAAAAGCTTCTGCTCTCTCCTCTACCCTGGCTGGTTCTCTCTGACACCACAAACTGATCTGGGCGTGTCAGAAGAGGCGGTTAGTCTTTGGACAAGGTCGAGGTCAGGGCGGTTTCTGTGGGCAGGCCTTTTCCAGGAACTTATTGCCCCGGCATTGTATTGTTTTTAGTAAACATGTTTTTAGTAAACATTGTCTTACAGCTGCCTACTCCCAGGCTGAATGGGAAGTGGGTCTCTGCTCAAGGTCTGGTGTCCCCACATATAGCAACAATAAACATGGTTTAGCATGTGTCTCTGTGGTTGGACAGTATCCCTGGGCTTGAACAAGAGGAAGGTGTTGGTGGCCTTGGAGGTCAGCTGGATCTCCCAGAGAGTCCAATGGATAACCTTTATGAAGGACTGGAGAACCTGTAGTGACTTGAGAAAGGAATGGTTAGAGATTTTTTCCAACTGCTGTTCTCGGAGCTGGGGAAGCAGTTGGGAAATTCTTCCAAACATAGTTTCATAGGGGGTGAATCCCTCCCCATATGTGCTTCAGTGAGCCCAAAACTCAAAACAAAACAAAGGAAGTAGGTCTATCTACACTTGACTGAACTATAATGTGAGTTTTGTTAGCTTTTTCCTTAACATCATATTTATTTATTTACCAGTGTAGAATTCTGAGGTCTATATGCATAATAAAGTTTTAAATCTGTGTCTAAAAATTTAGCTATTAGTTGAGAGTTTTTGGCTATGAAAGCCAGATTATTGTCAAATCCCATTGTTAGGGGGAGGCCAAATTAGGGGACCCATTCCTGGATGACCTTTGAAGCTACTATTTGAACAATTTTAGTCTGGTGGGGAACACTTGTACCTACTCAGAAAAGGTATGTATAAAAACTAGCAAATGTTTATATCCTCCCTTGGCAGGCCAGATCTCAGTGATGTTGGTTTCCACAAGTTTGCTGGAGTGTTGGCTTCTCATTCAGATCCCTTCCTGGGTAAGGGCTCTCTATTTTGGATTCATTTGAGTACAAACCTGGCATGTGCTGAGATGTCCTATGCCAGGCCATGCTGTCCAGTCTAGGTATAATATACCTTGGTCTGAGTAACTAAGAAAGTTTTTGGACCCACGATGAGTAGGCTCTTGAAGGTCAGTTACCAGAGTCCTGTCTATTCTTCTGGGAGAATGATCTTTGCCTCTGGTGTCCTTCATCAACCTGTGGCTTTGAGCTTTCTTTTCTTCTTTTTGCATCCTTATTTCCTCTGGGCTGTACCATAGTGTCTCAGGCAACACCAGGTGTGGCTATGCCACTAGAATATCAATGGGCTCCACTGGTCTTAGGGCCACTTGTTGAACAGCCAGGTCAGAGACCTCCTTACCTCCTGCCTCAGGGTGTCATCTTTTTGATGTCCTTGGCAGTGGAGGATAAATCTTGTAGGAGAAGCCATATGAACCCTAGGAGGCCCAAGACTTTTTCTTTGTTTTTAATGTCCTTTCCCCTAGTGAGAAGCCTTCTTTCTCTACACATGGACATGCATGGTTGTAAAAACATAGCAACCATCTGTGGGCATGGCAGTGGTCTTTCCCTTTTTCCATCAGAGTGCCTAGGCCTGATCCATCAATTCTGCTTTGGGTTAAGGTACCTGCACCTAAGGTGTGGGCCTAAATCGATTCAGTAAAAGCAAGTATTACAACTCCCATGGATCTAGTTTTATCTTTCATCTTCTGACAATCAAGGATGTGCACCTGTGGGCTGTCATCAGGCAAGAGAGTAGCAGGATTGATGGGTGTAGGTTTCTGGAACTGGACCCAAGGATGATCCAGGAGTAGGACCCAGTATTGCGTCACACAGGCATCAGATAGCCAGAGTTCTGGTGTTCCTTGGAGGAGATCCTTGACTGTGTGGGGTGCTATGAGTGTAAGATCTTGACCTACAGCCAGGAAGTGGTGGTGCACGACATTAATCCTAGCATTTGGGAGGCAGAGGCAGGTGCATTTCTGAGTTTGAGGCCAGCCTGGTCTATAAAGTGAGTTCCAGGACAGTCAGGGCTACACAGAGAAACTCTGTCTTGAAAAACAATAATAAAAAGATCTTGACCCAGAGTTTTTTGTTTTGTTTTGTTTTTTAGACTAGCAGTAGCCACCATAGCTCTTAGACAGATGATGCATCCTGGGGCTACAGAGTTCAATCATTTGGACAGGTGTGTCACAGGCATTTTGGGTTAAAGCCCCTTTTGTAATGTCTTTTGCCTTGGGGGAAAACAGATGGAAAGGTTTTGATATACTTGGAAATGCCAGGGCTGGAACCAAAGTCAGAGCTGCTTTTAAAGCCTCAATGCCTTTTGTTTAGTCCCAGTTCAGGTTGGAGATCAATGCCCCTCCTTACTATTTCTGTAAACTCTGGTACCCAGTGGCAACACCAAAGAACTATTCCAGCTGCACCTAAGAACTCAGTCTTTGTAGTTGGGATCCTACTTTGAGACAGGCTCTTTTTGCCTTAGCTGGTAGCCAAGATAAGCAGCCTCTAGTGTATAAAGTGGGGCTTTCTCGACCAGCACTCCATAGTCCAAGCTCTTGCAGCAGTCCTTCAGTGACTTCTTAATTTAGTTTAAACTAGCAGGAGACAGCCCCTTCCCCCAGATCTTTGGATTCTAACAAAGACCACCTACCTCTGCTGAGGCCTTGACCAAATCTCCCCTCTACAGTGCTTAACATACTTGGGGCCAGAGTCTCACCTCCTGCTGTCCAGGAAGCTGATAGATCTCCATTCCTATTTTCTACTCTTGCTGAGAGATCCACAGCTTAGTTAATGATTTCTGGCCTGAAATCTGCTGAGATGGCTGGTTGTGCTTAGACCTTTGGCCCCTGAATTAATCAGACTGCCAACTGATTGACTGCCAAAACTCATTGTGACTGGATACAGTCCAAACTAGGGTCAGAGGACTTGACACAGGACTGGAAACTAATATCCGAAACCTTTACCCTATGCACTTCCCCTTATTCTGATGTCATTTGATTTCTGCCTTTGGGTTAATTCACCTGAAAAACAGCAATATTACTGGGTCCCCACAACTACTTGGTGGGCATATACTAATGCTTTGACTGTATGTGCCTCTTCTGATGTACATTCTCAAACTAAGAAGACCCTCTTATGAATCTTGGTACACAGCCGATATAGTGGGGAAGAAGAGAGAATACATTTTAATATGAACCCTGGACTACAAAGAACAAAGAACCGTGCTTGTCCTCCTCCCACTCCTGGTCGGAGCAGGAAGTGTCAACTCAATACCCATAGATGTGTCAGCCTTTATCAGGAGAGACGAGAACGTTAAGGAACTAAGCAGACAGGTTGAACAGGACCTAGAGGTATTAAAACTTTCTGTTTCTGAATTAGAACAACAGTTAGATTCCCTTGTTTAAGTGGTCCTACAAAACCAGAGAGGCTTAGACTAACTTCTCACAGAACAGGGGAACTATGTATGGTTTTGGGAAAAACCCATTGTTTTCATGCTAATTGATCAGATGTAATTAGAGAAAATCTTGCCATGTTTGGGGAAAACCTAAGAGAGAGACAGAGAGAGAGAGAGAGAGAGAGACAGAGACAGAGACAGAGACAGAGACAGAGAGACAGAGAGAGAGACAGAGAGAGACAGAGACACACAGAGAGATGTGGTAGAGAGAGATGAGACAGAGAGAGGGAGACAGAGAGAGTAAGACAGAGACAGAGAGAGATATGAATCAGATAATAGACACAAGTCTCTATTCTCTTGGTCCCCTGGCTAACTACTCTGCTATCAGCATTGGCTGGGCCTCTAATTATCTTTCTGATTTCATTAACAGTGGGGTCCTACACTTTAAATTACATGGCCAAATGGGTGAAGAAAAGATCACCACCTCCCATCAACACCTAGGACAGGTGAAGGAGCTGACCTTGGTGTCCATGTTTATCGTCTTGTACAAAACTTAAGTCCAAATGGATCAAAGATCTCAACATAAATCCAGCCACACTGAAACTTTTAGAAGAGAAAGTGGGAGATACTCTTCAATGAGTTGGTACAGGAGACCACTTCCTGAACATAACACCAGTGGCACAAACACTGAGATAGACAATTAACAAATGGGACCTCCTGAAACTAAAAAGCTTCTGTAAGGCAAAGGATACAGTCAACAAGACAAAAAGGCAGTCCATAGAATGGGAAAAGATATTCACTAACCCCATATCTGACAGAGGGCTAATCTCCAAAATTTACAAAGAACTCAAGAAGCAAGTCTCCAAAACACCAAAGGATCCAATTAAAAGGTGGGGTATAGAACTAAATAGAGAATTCTCAATAGAGGAGGCTAAAATGGCCAAGAGACACTTAGGAAAGTGCTCAACATCCTTAGCCATCAGGGAAATGCAAATCAAAACAACTCTGAGATACCATCTTACTCCTGTCAGAATGGCTAA